ATTATTATTTATTATTATTATTTTTTGAGTGTTTATAACTCAGGGTTTTTGGGGGCTTTTGTTACAGTAATGAAAAGATGCACCTACTGCATCTTCCATTACAGTAACCATTTCGGGTGTTTTTCCGGTGTTTATTGGATAAACACTGATTTAATCTTTTTGTATCGGGCATGTTTTATCAGTTTTTATTGGTTAAAACATACAATCAGAAGCCCTAAATATTTTTTGCAAAGAGACAAGGATGAAATAAGATGTCCTATTATTTACTGTCTTATTGACCGCCATCTTGATTTTAATGGTTTATCAAAACAACAGATTATGTTTTAACTTTGTGGTAGGCATTGCAATTATTCAACAACAACAATAACAGCCACAAAATTACATTTATATAGCACCTTTCACGTCAGGAGGACATCCCAAGGCGCTGGACAGACAGAGTTTCGGACTCTTTATAGTAAGGTAAAGGTTTTATATAGACCTAGAAGAATTAGACACAGACATTTGGCTGGAGTGTCTTCAATTGGAACCTGTGAAATAGTCATTAAAATAAGTGAATCTTTTTTCAGGGATTCTAAATAAACAAATTTCATGACTGATTTACACAAAGGAACCAGCAAGAGTAGTGTCTGACTAGTTACGATTACTTTGCCTTTTTACTAGCTTTCAACATCATTCATTTCTGTACATCAGTTTTCTCTGAATCGAAAGCACATTCTCTTTTGGGTTACAAGGTTGTAAGTTTGAACTCCCAAACAAGATTTAAGTTCCAGTTTAATATTCAGATTCAATCCTGAGATGTAGTCCTTCAGATGAGACATTAAACTGAGGTCTTATTTTCCTGCTGTTCATGTCAATGTTAAAGATCCCATGACTAATGGAACATAGAAAGCAGTTTCTTACAGTGCCCTGGCCAACAATTCTCCATCTTAAATGGTCACTCACCTCATGACTGTTTGTAGGACTCTGTTGTTTGAAAATAACATATGTCGAGAGACATGGAATGTGACTATAAAATCCAACTTCATTCATTCATATACTCTAATACTTTTACCAAGTTCCATCTCCCTTATTTAGAAAACCAACACTTGAAATGCCTCATTAACTTGTACTATTCTCAACTCAAGAAAGCAGGTGAATATTATACATAAATAAATGCATTTTTAAAAGAACATGAAGGAGTAATTCTCAGTAAATGCATGGCAGTGTGATATTTGCCTGGGACTCAACACCATAAGCTGACATTGCCAAAGTTGATACAATTGCCAACAATTGAAGAATCATTCATTTGAAGTAATTCATTACTGTCAATACAGAAGCAAAACATCTGCATCAAATGCTGAAATGAGCTGAACCTCAGTTGCAATGGAAGGGAAGAGGAAATATTTCAATACCAGACTGAAGCTAATACAAACACTCTAACCTCACATTGCTCTTAATTCACAAACAGTTCATCATAAACTGATTCCTAAAAATAGCAAAATTCCCATCATGTCTATATATAATGAGAAAATTATTATAAAAATGTAACAAAAGGATTTCTATTTTTAGAGATGGATACATGATAGACTTTGTTAAATAGAATTTCCAGAAATATCACTTTAATCAGTTGCTTTCTCCTTGAATTGCTGCATAGATCTTTCTATTGTTTTATTCAGAGTTTTTCTGACTAAATTAATCAAGAAAAATCCTATCACAATGTAGGTAGAATAATTAAGTCATTTATGTTGAATTTTTTGACAATCATCTCTTGTAACAATGCAAGAAAACTTAGCTTTTGTTTTGTCTGTATTGGTTGTAAAAATGTCTTCAGTGTCTCTTCCAATTTATGTTTAGTGTGTGAATTAGCACTGAATTGTGAGAGTTTGTGCTGTGATCTTACTTTTACTGGGAACTGAATGAAACTGGAATGAAACTCTTTCAACGCATTTCATGTAGGATCCTCATGTTCAGTAGAAAGAGGAGACCTTCAACCCATCAATCTGGCTGAATTCAAACCGAGAACATATGCTACCCCACAACACCAGCTGATTCCCTTCTACTAAACTGTGATACATGAATTTCATTTCTTCCTCTAATAAATTGAATTATTTCATACCCAACTATGGATTAACTACTCGGTTACACTACAGTGGCTATGTTGCAAATTTTGGTGTGATATTTACCATTGAACAACTTCAGATATGGTTAGAAATTCCACTTGGGTCTGGATTTACCTCATCAACTTAACAGTTTAGAAAATCATAACATTATTGAAACCCACTGATGTACCCAGCAATCATGCTCGAATATACATATCATCCACTCAATATAGAAACAAAATAAGATGCATCCATTAAGGTGTGGATGATAGTAAATTGGTTATAATACGGGAAAACATATGCTGTAATTTGTATAGCTAAAGGCTGCGTTAGTGAGATAGACTATTATATTGTGCTTTATTGTCCTTCTTCAATATGTTTAGAGAAATTCTTCCAGTACTTCTTAACACTACATCCGGGTAGTCCTCTGTTTTGACCAGATTTCAATAAATCTATTAGATTCAAATCTCCCATGATCTCCAATGATCGCCCCATCTCCAATACAATAGGATTCCTGAATCAAGAGCTGCCAATTTCTCATGCTATCTTTGGTAACTTGGGATGATAACCTAGGACCACCCTACCTTGTTACAGCTGCAGTTTATCAGATTAACAGGAGTCGAGTGGAAAGGATCCAAGCCTTTAGTGACTGGTCTACCCCTCCAAGACCTGCCGACAAGCCAGGCGGGCTGGTCTATTATCAGCAGAGCCTTGGATTACTGTGTATCTGCCAGGCTCAGGAATCAGACCAACATTCCATTCTCAAGAATGGAGATAGTTCAGATCCAAGGAGGCTCCTCTTATCTGACTCTTTCCCCATCCCCTCTCCAAGGAGGATAGAGATGTATTCTCAATAGGCTTAAAAAACACTGCAGTAATATTACTACCACCTCCTGAGCTTGATCTTCATCCAAACTCTGGAAACAATTGTATGAGTTTGGACAAGTACAACTGTTTTGCCTTTGTCACTCATGTCTTGGGTTGCACTCCTCAAAGTAAATCAAACACTAGCAGCCTCAGCCTCTTATTTATTCATTGGTAGTGGAGGCAAAAATGATGGAATATTTAATAAACTTTAAAGTGATCATGTCTTGAATAATAGCCTAATAAAAACGAATTAAAATATAATAGGAAATTGCCACTAATTGCATACTAGGCTATTGCCATTTCTTGTTATTAGTTTATATTTATTACAGTTATAGTGTATTAGGCAATGTAGAAGCCAATACTAAATTAATGGTTTGCATACAGCACACCCATTGACAATAAAACATTGAATTAGATATCAGCTTGCGATGGCTGGAGTACAGAAAACAGTTTTGTTTTGGATTCTAAAGACATCACACTATCTATTGCTAGTCGTTAAGACCACTGGTTGTTGCATTGACTTTTTGTTACGGTTGCACCATCACATACAATGTAGAGAATATGTAAAGAATGAGCAACAGTCTCTCACGGAAAACTCATTGAAACGTATGAACTTGAAGGGTAATGTAGGTATGCCTAACATCAGAAATGATTCTTCTCCTTTTCACTGTACTTATTTAATCTGTTACTTTAATCCGTTTAAATATATTTATTTAAAATGTAATGTGAATATGGATCCATATTACATTTCACATATTCTGACAAACAAAAAATGTTGGTGTTGCTTACCACAAAACGTTTGAGTCTGTTGGTACATTAATCTCAGAGGTTGTTCAATGATATGGTTGCTGATTAACATTGGAGCTCTATACATCAATGAGCAAAACCAGAGAAAAGTTAAGCCTCTGCCTTGAGATTCACACAAGCATTTTAACACCATAAATGTGCTAATTCTTCCATTCTATATTGGACACCTTAGCATCAGTAATTTATGACCAGAAAGTATAACAAAACCTACATCAGAATTTAACAGGAACTCGAGAGATCATTTAACTTTTGAAATTAAGAGCTGTAGAATACTGCACTGCAGATATACTATTGGAGAGATCTGAGCATCACATGTTTGTGAGTCAACTCCTGTAGTTATGGTGTGGAGAGAAAGCATTTGCATAAATGTAATTCATTTTGAAGCAAGCTGCTTAAACTTGCTATCCATTAAAACAATAATGTCATGCATGTTGCTGCTGCTGCTGCTGCTGCTGCTTCTGCTCCTACAGGCTGTTCCAACAGGCAAGTGCTCTATGCATGGTTATTCCACATCCCAAAAGGGTTGTAACAGCCAAGGCTGAGATGCAAATTAGAAGGCAATAAAATTAGAAGGAAACAATGATGAAAGTGTGACTTCCTGGAATTAATTTTGATTGTGTGCGAAGAGGTGGGGTATTGTCTGAACTATTCTTCCCATCAGGCTACTTGGCATTTGCTACAATCATGAATCTTAATAAAATGTACTTTGCTGCATATGCTAGAAATGGTATATGGGAGGATAAAATCTCCACATTGTTATTAGTTCAATTAGTATTTCAAAGCACAATCCTATACATTCAGTGTGATCTCCAAATACCTACAGTGCATTATTGCGCTGGTTCTACACTGAATAAGAAACTGAAACGGATTCAGTCAGCTAGCTATCACTTAGCATTGTAATTGGCTGTCTGACCCCTCTTCCGCATGGAACTTGATCTCTTTTTTTAGCTAAAATAATGCACGGATGTAGCTAGAAGATCTCAAGTACGTGCATAGCAACTCTCAGTGCAATTTTGTACCAACAAATGAAAATAAATTGAAATGGAAAGATGCCAAAGTGGGTAAATGAAAGAAAGAAAAGTAGCTAATAGCACTGGTCATTGCTATTCCTATGTTTTCGGGTCTGAGTTACGCAAGTAGAAATACCTTGCCATGTTTCATTGGCAGAGGCTACAAATGGCTCAAGATTCCAATAACGTAAAGCTGCTTCTAATGAACAGATTTTTACATATCTACCCATGTGTTCAGGACTACAGAGTGAATATATTCCTACGACAAACATGGAATGATCCACGATTAGCCTACAGTGAATACCCGGATGATTCCTTGGATTTGGATCCTTCCATGTTGGATTCTATCTGGAAGCCTGATTTATTCTTTGCCAATGAAAAGGGTGCAAGTTTTCATGAAGTGACGACAGACAACAAACTGCTTCGGATATTTAAGAATGGAAATGTTTTGTACAGTATAAGGTAAGATTTGCTTTCCTGTAGTATGTTACTTATGTTTTTCCTCTTTCTAAGATGTTAACTCAAATTGGGGATCATTGGGCAATTGTCTCACACTGTATATTCTGTACAATGCTGTAGCGATCCTGAAGTATATTTAAATTATAGCAATTGTTCGGAGTTTGGGAAGAAAGTACAACGAATTCCAATTTATATAGCGCCTTTCAGTTTTTAAAAAATAAGTATTTCAAAGCACTTGACAAATATTGTGTTGGACGAGCAGGGACAAAGAAATGTTGACAAAGAAATGTTGCATGGTTGAAGAGATCTGTTTTAACAGGTTTTTGAAGGCATGGAGAGAGGTAGCACGGTCAAACAATTTTGAAAGAGACTTTGAGAAGATTGGATCATAGTGGCTGAGTTCTGGGTCAGTTGAAGCTGCTGGACAGTTGAACAATGGAGACTGAGAAGGAGAGCATTGGTAACATCTATCCTCGAGGGGACAAAATGGTGTAATATGGATTGAATGCTGAGCTTCAGAGTCAAATAGTTCTCAATTACTGGAATACTGGAAGCTACAGTATTTATTGCTGACAACAATCTCAAATTATCAATTTCACTAAGATGTTGTTATGATTTATTAAAATGAAAATAGCAAGATTATTGGCATTTTTATATCAGGCAGTATGGTACCAGGATCTTTTCTATTGTTGTTGGCTGATGGTTGGGTCACAGTGAATTTTTTAAACCAAATTATTACAAATGCAATGCAATATAATTTACATTTATAATGTGCCTGTTACATCAGGAGGACATCTCAAAGTGCTTTACACAGCAAAAAGTATTAGTGGTATTTGTAAGGTAATCAAAGACACTGCACTATTCATTCACAGTGGAAAATGTTGCATTTCATTTCTTCCAAAAATGCCATTATAAATATGGAATACAAATTTTGTTGCTTCTAGCAAACAGGGCATTATGTACTCGCAAATTACATAGATCTGCATAGAAGGTTAAGCATGGAAACAGGGCATTCAGCGTAATCAGTGCCAGTGATTATACTCCATGTTAGCTTCCGCCCTCTCCTAAATTCCCTCGCCCATAAAATACAAATTAGCTCAACAATATTGTTACCTCATTTAATGTTTCAATTTGGGTGGTATTTTTCAGATTATTTTATGGTTGTTTCAGAAAGATATTTGTTTGACTAAAAATGGTCAATCTGATCATTTTTTTTCCATCAGCAATTTTCTCCATGAATTTTCTCCTGTGGGGATTTCACTCCTAAGGGAAAGGGCTATTGCTTTCTGCCTACTCCCTTCACTCCACTGTTAATGATAGGTGCCAGCTGGTCTCTAACAGACATTCTTCATGTGTGATACTGGACTGCAAGTATTAGCAGACTATTCAAGTGTGGGGATATCACAGCCAATACCGATCCTATCCTCATCCAGCACCACACACACACACACCCCTTCCATCTGAGCTCATTCAGCTGTATAGACCAGGAATGTCTCAGGTGTGGGCAACTCAGCTGAATTAGCTGATGTCAGCTAAGATGCACTAGAGGTGCTACAATTAGCCTCAGGACCCAAATTTAGCAGAAGGAGGGGAAATCAACCATAGTTTCCACTCATGATCACTGTCTAGTGATCCTTATTGGAAAGTGCAGATATGTGTTGTGATACCCTTTGTAGTCAAACAGCAGTTATTATCTAAAGTCAGACTTAAAATCCTTGGATCAGGCAGCGAAGAGCTGCAAGCATCCTGGAACGTATTGCATAATCTCTCCATGTATAGATGGCATCCATATGTGGAACTCTCAGTTTGATTTGGCCACTCATAAACATGATGATGGATTTATGAATATGTCAAACATTCAGCTGACCAAAAATAATCCTCCAGTAAGAAATAGCACCTTCAGGCGAGAAGGGATGAAAAGTGGAAAAAAAGAAAATTCTCCTCCTCTTGATCTATCATTTCCTTGTACTCTTGAATAATTCATAGAGGAAAGAGCCATAAAATCAAGTGAAAGACTCCTGTGGGAGAAGTGGTTGAATGGACACACACTGATGGGCAACATAATTGAATCTCATCAGCCATCATCTTTGTTCACAAATATAGATGAATTTTTTTGAAGCACAGAATATAGTATTGACAGTGAACTTCAAAGAGTCCATTCACTGATGGCTAATAATGTGTGTCTCCATTTATTATTGCCTTATTATTTTAGCTCGATTGATTTCTAATTACTCAAACAGTGGATTATCCCTTTGTTGCTGGTTTAAGAATCTTATTAACTGCCGCAATCTGTACGTATTTTGAATCCATTTCTTTTGTTCCAATTTGGCACACATTTCTGAGATGTTCTCAAGATCTCTGGGGACTAACTGCTTAAAAGCCAGGAAGTCTTTTGATTTTTTTTAGTGGAAGAGGACTATCACTGTCAAGTTGGTAAATGTCACTATTGTAAATGGGTTCCAGAATCCAGAAAGGTCATTATTTTAATGAAATGATTTGGTTCCCCACCCCCCCTCCACATTTTATTGCCATTTACATTAAATTAATAGCAATGACATTAACAACTCCCTTGAAACGTTGGATTAGTAACCACTTTCTCTTGCAGTCATTCCACCCAAACCCATGAAAAGATAAGATTGGAATAATTTGTAATGAATTTAAATTTGAGATGGGTGAAATTGACAGCTCACACTGCAGTTAGTTGGTTACCGGAGGCATCTGCTTGATAATAAATATCTCACTGGTAACAGACACTCCTGCATTCTGGAGTTATGCCAAATGGCACATCTGTGCATATAGGTTTCTTCAGTACCAAATCTCTCATTTACATTTCATAACCAGTGACTATAAAACAAACTCATCCTGAAATCGTCAAAATAAAATGTCTTCGTGACACAGTAAAGTGTGTTAGCATCTGGATTATTTAAAATGAATTGCTGATTAGTTCTGGTCAACAGTTGTTTTCCTGTCCGAGGGATTACTTAGAATATCAGCGCAGAATGTGAGTGGTAGGAGAATGCCTGTTGTGTTGGTGTAACTGACCCCCAAAGGCATCTATGTTATTTTTGTGCTCATTGGTACTGATCCTAAAATTGTCAGCTTCTACTTTTATCTCAGTCAGAAAGGCCAGAGTAAAAGCATTCTGTTCTTTTGTTTGCAAAATGCTGTATTGTACTATCTCCACCAGATAACTTGTCTATTAAAAAAACATAGGGTCACTCAATCCACGACTGTTTGCGGGACACTGCAGTGTGCAATTGGCTGTTGCGATTCGCCCACAAAATATACAGTCAGTTCACTTTACAGTTTATTCTGTGAAGCGCTTTGAGACGTCTCGAAAATGTGATAAGACGCTGTACTGAATGCAAGTATTATTATTACTATAATTACCATGGTCAAATATCAGTAATGCAATTGACTAACATTTATTGTATTAGAAATCATTTTGCATTTGTTAGAGCTTTGATCCTGTATCTTTGTTGACTTAGTACTTTTTTCCCTCTAAAAGTGGAACTTTTTCACATGCCTTGAGAACAAAGAGTTACTTTACAAATTTTCTAAATTCTATAATATCACAACAAAGTATGGAATCCATTCCAAAATCTCTTTGTCTTCCTGTCTTCCGTCCCCACTTTAAAGTCCACCTTAATACCTATCTTTTCGATTGTCCTTTCAGGTACCTCTCTCTCCCCAATCCCCTGCACCAGCTCAGTTATCCAAACAACTGTGTAAAGCGCTTTGTGACATTTTCGTAATTTGTTGTGTGTGTGACAAATTGGCTCATTACTGATTCATAACTGAATGTTCAATATGATCAAATTTAATACAACAACAACTTGCATTTACATAGGTTCAGATGGGTTAGCATCCAGGAGCGCTTGTACATACTCTCTTTGCATTTAGAGATCAGTCTTTTTCACTATCAACTTAGAACATCAAACTGGTGTCCCTCAATACCCACTATGAGTCATACAGATCAGGACGATACTTGGTTCATGTTAGTTACCAGATCTCAGCCAAGCAGTAATCTGAACATCACAATTGGCCTCAGTATCCCAGCCTAGAAAGGGAAAACATTAACCTGGAACTTGCTCTTAATAGCTATCCAGTTACCTTCTAGGAATGTCTGTGTTTATAGATTTTGAGTAAGGAAACCATTGACCTTTATTACCCCTCGTGGTTGAATACCTACCAACAATCTCCAACTCGGCTCAAACATGTTAACTAACCACTTAAACAATCTTCCAGGGTTGTTGCTACCATGGACCCTGTACTTCAGGAGAAATTGCTGTGTTCAGAAGAGGTATAGGGGAAAATAAGCCAAATTAATTGCAAACATTTCTCTTTTAAATAGATTTCAGGATCTCTTTCACACAGCAGTTGTGTTTTTTGTTTGAATTTTACAAAAGCTGCAAAGCGCCATAGCTTTATTTAGAGCAGTGTTTTCCTATTAGCATTCTTTACCCTTTGCGCTTGACTTTCAATAAACAACAATGTGAAATCAGCAAAGTTAAGACCGTGAGGCCAACCTATAGTCCTTTACAAGCACAAGGTTGTACTAACATTTCAGTTGCATGGATAAAAGAGCCTGACAATAAATACCAGAGAAACAGCCCATGTTTTTATTGAATAATTACTGGCTTTTAACTTGTCTTCTTTCCTTTGTTTTTAGTTTATTATGTTTTCTAGTGAACTCCAGGAAGAGGCAATGAAAATGCTGCACTATTAAATAACAGATCTTTTGATTGCATTTTGCTCTCACTGAGGTGAAGGATGCCAGTGATGAAGATTGGAACATTAGCCCTCTTGTTTCTAATATTAACAACAAGCAAATGTGCTCCACCAATAGGAGCAACACATGACAACAACAAATTGCATTTATATAACACAGAGTGTTGATAAGGGGCAGTTTGGAGTTCCCTCTACACTGTTCCTAACACTTCAGTCTATTTTGTGATATTTGTTGATGGGATTTCTTAATTAAAAAATCCATATGGGATTCTTTCTGTTAACATGAAGCATATCACACACATCATGTTGACTTTAAGGCACCTGATCTGATCAAGTTGAAGCCTTTATGTGAATCAGCACAATGGAGATCCAGATTTCTTAATCAAGAAATCCTGTTAAGAAATCTCACAAAACTGTGCCTTAATCTTAACCTCAGAATAACAATTTCCTTCTACACCAGTTTTATTTTTTCTCATTGTGACCACCATTCTTATTGAGTGGTGGAAGCAAGTTTGTCCAGTTATCAATCACCAGTGCTTTTTTTTACTAAGAAACATTTTGTGAAAACGTCATGGTAAACTACTGTTGTGCATTTTCAAAATTTTTAGTGTGATGATGTGTTAATGTTAATACGTGTTAATTAATCTCAAATATTTTATTCACTGGTGTAGAGGGCCAGTGCCTGAAAATGATGTTAAGAATGTTTCAGCAGGTTTTTCTCTTTTCGTGATAGTGCCTCTTTAGATAACAGTTCTGTACTCTGATCTCTTCTCCACTGGGAATGGGATTGACATCAGACAAATTCATCTCACACAGGACACTTAACAACCAGCAGAAAGAGAGAGAGAGAAAAGTCTTTTTTATTCCATCTTTCTGATTTAGATCCAGGTTTCAAAGATGAAAGAAGTGTCCTAATCCTCTACACCACACAGTCCCCTGTGCTGAAAAGATAAAAGGTTCCCTAATATGTTACCTATTTTTCAGACTTACACTGACATTATCCTGTCCAATGGACCTGAAAAATTTCCCAATGGATATGCAAACATGCGCAATGCAGTTAGAGAGCTGTAAGTAACTGGGTTACATATGCATGTACACAAGACTAATTTTAGTCTCTGTGCATTGTCAAGCCACATCTCATAAAAGTGAATAATAGACACATGAACCTTGCCAACTATAGTGGCATGTGTCCCTTTCCATCTCCCATGTAATCAGTTACATACCAGTGCCAACTATTTTATTTCATATCAAGCTGCAAGAATTTCTTTCTACCAGTATACAAGCTAAGATGTTTCATCTGACATGAAAAATTGGATTTTAAAAATAGTCAATATTTTCTCCAGGCTTTGACTGAAATTGAAATGCATCTTTCAGTAGTTCAGTTGTAGCTGTCCTCAGCATTGCAATTAATTTCTCAATTTTGGGCGTTATGGAGCAGGCCAGAGAGGAAATTGGTGAGACTAGTTTTTCTCAGAGAAACACCTGTCCTATTGAATGGACTGAAGCAGCATTGATGCCAGGCTGATAGGTGTCCGTGGCCCAGACTGGCTGAAGGAGAGTGATGGGGGAGAGTACTGAGCCACATGTAAACATGGGAAGGAGACAAGGTACTTTGCTTTGTCTACAACATAATATGTTTCTTAACAAAAACATAGGTGAATTTTATCTTTATGAAGGTTGTCAAAGCTCAAAGTATTTAACAATATTTTTGCTTGATGCATCAGTGTCATCATAACAGTCAGGTGTAAGTAGAAATCATTGTCCAATAATGCTCTTTAATCCCCCAAACTCTGATGTACAATACTTCCTTGAAGTGTTCAAAAGAAAGCTGGAAAGATACTTAGTATATAGTATATTTAGGGATTTGGAGAAAAGGCAGAGAAATTGAATTACGGTTAGTTGCCAGAGACTAATAGAAGAGGAGGCGTGATGTTATTGAGTGTCCTATTTCTATTCCCAAATTCTTGCACAAGTGTAACATTGTTATTCTCCAACTCAAGCATCACAAGTAGCCTCTCACAGAGAGGTAACTAATTCACTGCCAAATTGACCTCCCAGTGTATTAATAATTCACATTCACAACAATGGCTCAGCTCACTGACAAAAGGCCAAGTTGTGACAACATCACATATTGATATTGTTACGTCCTCATTTCCATGATAACTTGGCACATTATTGAAACCTGGCCTAGTGATCCTTTCAATGTACTCCCAGAATGAAATATTCAATGTTATTTTCTTATTAGAAATTAAACACTTCTGCTTTATCATTTTAAAAAGAATATTCTCTGAATACTAAGTTGAAAATTGGCACCTTGATAATTCTTCCTATTATACCAGCTATAATATCTATATCTATATGTGTTTGTGGGCAACTTATTGCCAAATTAATATCAAAGACTTTAATAGTAACCACAGTCAGAGGTTGCAAGCTTTCAACTTATTAATCTTCATGTTTGGTAAAGTTTTTTGGAAGCCACATAAAGTACAATTATTTCTTCAAGTAACTTATCAGGCCTGACCAATTATGTGAATTAATTTGCCCCTTCAGTGCCTCTACTCAGTCTGAGGTTGGAAACTGCCTGAATAATTTAGTTCAGTCTAGATCACCATCTCCCCTTCAGCACTTGTAGCTAAGTATTCAACCCAGTACCTCCTTCCTGACACAATGCCTTAACAGTAATTTCCTATATATTTCTTCCTTTGACTACCTCTTTAAAATAAAATGCAAGTTGTAACCAACAATTGGTGGTCAAGTTGTGGCATTTCTTGTTGGGATTTTGAATTAATTCAAGTGGAGTTCATTCCAGCAACAGAAGTACATCATGCCAATAGCAGGGACCCCTCTCAAAAGTAGATCAATTTGGAACAGTGTTCTCGCAAGCAGCTTCACATATTTGTTTTGTTAAGAGATCCAGTTAAAAATAACGGCACATTTGACTCCTTTTTACTAATGCAGTAATCCTAGGTGTGCACGAAGGTTTGCAATGGACAGTTGACGATGCAGCCTGGAAGAGTAGTTATTTTCCAGAACACAATATTGGTTTGATGATCTCGTGCAGATCCGAACTTTGATGTGAATCTCAGGGTTTTGAAGACTAAAGCATTTGTGATCTGCAATCACTAATCTCAGCACTGATTGATATTTTTTTCTTGTGGCAAAATTCAACTATCTTTAATCATATTTAAATAGGTTAATTTTTGAGATACAGTAGTGCTAAGGACAACTCAATCATCAACCCCTCAACATTTTCTGAATTGCTGCATGCTGAACAGCAAACTATCTAATCTGTACTGTGATAACATTTATAATAACCACCAATCTTACTTGAGCAATGTAAATTCTAAACTTGCCCAATATTCAGCTATGAATGTTAGTTGCTTCATACTCATTAAAATTGTTGGTTCTCCACTGAGAATGTATATGTAGGGAGGGAACTATGTATACACAGCAGTGAGTGTGTACAATAGCTGGTCAACACAATTCTAAAAGTAACTGGATCGCACAATACACATTCTTTTATTTAGGGATCTACTGTATTGAGAGAATCAATTATACTATAATTATACAGACCTGGCTGTTAATTTTTGATAATTTATTAAATGGTCCTTAGCTTTCATAACATTCTTATACCAAAGAATCCTAAATGTGTTTATATATGTATATATAAGGATGCATACATGAGTTAGAAGTGAATAAAGAGGTTTGGAAGAGGGGAATAGGAGGTGAGGAAACTCATGTGGAATATGAACACCGGTTGGGCTGAATGGCCTGCTATATTATTCTATGTAAAAAGAATCATAATAAAATTATCGGGGAAGCTTAAGTCAAGACATTCTCATTACACTTAGTTACTAGGAAAATTTAAAATCCATTTTAAAATCTGAACAAGAAGTAACATGCAAATCCAGAGGCATAATTTGTAATCAATGTCAATTCTATAACAATATTCTAATTGTTGAGACATGCTACTAATGTGATTAGATATTTCAATTATCTGCCTACTGCACGGTTGCTTCTTAGAATTACTGTGTCATTTATATCTCAAGAAGCATGAAAACACAATAAAGTTTAATCAAAAAAAGATTTATGGCTCAGTAGATCGTATACAGACGTGCAGAGGATAAAGCTTATCTATCAAAACGTTCACAGTGGATACAACTGCAATTATGTGTAATATTTCCAAAGGTTCTAATAGAAAAGGTTATCATTTTGGTGACAGCAGAAGTTGTTTTACAACTGAAACTTAGGTCTAAGATTGGATGAGATTTCTCAATAATCATGTTCTTCTCTTGAACAATATCAGTTTGTGTCAGCATTCTTTTCTAGGTGCTAAACTAGAGTGATAGAATATAATTGCCGGAAATTCAACATTGAAGATTAATCATCTCTTTTAACAATGGCTTTTAGAATATCTATTAAGTTCTTCATGAAATTTGGAAACGATTTGTTTTCCCCCTTTATACCTGTTATAAATTACGCATTTAACTTCCTTCCTCACTTTTATTCCCCTGCAACTATTTTAAGCCATTACATTGGTAGGATGGGATTATTGAGATTGCAGACATCTCAATCATTGTACTGTGCTTCAGATAAACCATCCCAGAGATCTAAGCTACAATCCATTCTTAAGAAATACATCCCAAATAATCAGATTTTTCAAATATTGCTTATTCTTTATAAATTTTTAAAAATTATATTTCTAAGATAGTTAAAATTTACTAATGCTTCCTAATGTATTACATCTAGATCAAATATGATATTATGATTTTTCCAGCATATTACTGTATCCCCTGGATCCATCAACCATGATAATGGAATTGTACAGAACCTTGGTCTGTTTCTACCTGCTTATCTTCATTTCCATTGGATAACTGCCATGTTGGTCTTGTGTCTGTCTCTGATCATTTCCACTGCAAACATTGACCATCCTCATAATTCTGATCATCTTACACCCTCTAGTTCCATTACAAACATCATATCGCCATTGGACATCTAAGGTAAAGGTTTCATACACCAACCTTGATTTTTATTCTTCATCTGGTTTAATCTTCATGGATTAATTTGCATTTTCACTCTTGGTTTGCAGTTGGATACACAATGAATGATCTGATATTTGAGTGGTTGGAGGATGGCCCAGTGCAGGTTGCAGATGGACTAACCCTTCCACAGTTTATTCTGAAGGATGAGAAGGAGCTGGGATACTGCACAAAGCATTATAATACAGGTATGTTTAATCAATCAGAAGTTCAGTAGAATCATATTAATGGGAACTCACCCAAAAAAGCCAAATATAGAGTCAGCAAGTGTTCACAATGGTAAACTGTGCAGTTTTAGCTGGTTAGACTCCAGCAGTATCCAGTTGCACACTCTTGAGTCCGCAAACCTTGGCTTTTCCTAGTTCTTATCTATTGCTTTCCAGGATTATAAATCATTTTGGAAGAGAGAGAGAGTGGACACTGTACTCCGCAGATAGGGAAATTTCCGTGTATAAGCATAGGCAACAAGTGAAAATATTCTTTGGTTTGGGGCTGAGCTGATCCATGTTCCTGTATTTCCTGACCGTGCTTTGCTGAAGATTGCAGAGTGTATGGGTGTCTCTGTCAGTTTGTGTGTGTGTCCTGGTACTAAATCCAACTCTCACTCACTCATCTAATTGACTGCTACACTCGTTTACTTCACATCCCATTACAGATACCCCTCTCCAGGCTGAAACACCTCATTAGCCAAAACTGGAGTAAAGTTGGTGAGTTGATAAATAGATAGATTTGAGGGGGGCTGAGCACACTCGCGTCATAGCCATCTGCCATCTATGTGCATAAGTGGAAATTTTAATTTGGTATGGATACTCTTAAACATGGGGATCAGCTTTTACATATGTTAGAATCTGACTGATCAAAAAAAATACAGTATAGCAATTCCTTGTAATTCATTTACTGGTGTTCTGCTGTTGAACACATCATATTTCACAACTTATCACAATTAACTCCACAATGCTGTGCTTGTCATTTGAATGTAGAACTAATATTTTTCCACTTATAGCATGTAGCAAAGTCTGTCTATTTAATAAGAGAGAAAGAATAATGTTCCCAAGTCATAGAACAATCTGTTTAACTAGCAGTAAGGGTTTGGAGTAATATTTGGTGGCAAAGTGTTTGGAAATGTGTGTGCTCCTTAGTTACTGAATAGCTACCTTAAAAAAATTGGTTACTTAATCCACGACTGTTTGTGGGACACTGCTGTATGCAATTGGCTGCCCCATTTCGCCCACAAAATATATAGTCAATTAGTCAATTCACTTTACAGTATATTCTGTGAAGTGCTTTGAGATGTCTCAAAGACGTGATAAGGCGCTATATCAAATGCAAGGATTATTATTATTATCAGCTTGGCAATAAAGTCTCAAAATAATCATGAAATACCCAAAGACACCACATGGGTCAAACCATCACTTCTTCATCAAACTTTCAAAGATTCTCAGTTCTTCTCCTCAATTGGTAAAAAATCTTCTTGCGTTCAGACAAATCTTGTTCTACATCCTAAAAAATAGCAAACAATAAATGCATATTGATAAATGATTATTCATAGATGATACCTTCACTGATACCTCACCTAATATTTTCTCGTACAGTTTTAGCAATATTGGGCTTTGTACATCAACATGATGAAATTAAAATTTGTGAACCCATTTTGATACGTGTGTAGATTCGGATAAATCAGACATGCATTTTGTAAAGGAAACCACCTGAACTCCAGTTTGGTCAATCAGTCTTTCATAGACCTGATGGATAAATGGGCATTCTGAACTCACAGTGGTAACTTCCCACTTACCTTTCTACTCTTGTGCAGTATAAGTGAAATAGCTTTCAGCAGTGAGACAGTTGGGATGCAAATGTCAGATTAATATGCAGAACCCGATGAATTGAACACCTATTTTTATACTAAGTAAAAGCCAGCTGGGACCTGCACTCTGTATGTCATTACTTTATAATAATGTCTCACGTGATATTTTTCAGAGTTAGCAAAATGGAACTATTCTCCTTAGGGTGAAGTAAGCAGGATCTCTTCAGGGCTGAGTTGATTCTGAATTGAGATGCCTGGCAATGGAATATTGGAATGAAATAAATGCGGTAGTTTGGTTCCTAAGCCAGCTAGGTTTGCAATACTTCAGGGCACTGATGACGATGGACCAGCCAGACTGACTCACTGGCTGGACTTGGAGGAGTAGTTGTCACTAGAGGCTGGGATTCTTCCCAATCAGTTCTTGCTAACCCTGCAAGTCAAAGCCTTAACAGGGAGGGTAGTCCTAGCTTGCCGGTGTTTGCAAGTATTGTATTTGACAGGTAAAATGAGTATGAGAGTGATGATATTGTGAGGGGATAGTGAGAATCAGAAGCTCGCTACCAGAAGCTGTGCTTGAAGCAAAGAGTATCAATGTATTTAAGAGAATGCATACAAGAGGGAGAAAGGAATACAGGGGTATAAGAAAGGGGATTAGCTTGAGATGGAGGCTCATTTGTAGTATAAACACATGCTTGGCTGAATGGTATATTCTATGCTATGCTATATCATTCTATGTAACTCTATGAAAGGGACCTTTCTCAAAGATCAGGTAAACCTGATGCATAGCATCAGAATTGTTGACTCCCACTAACATTTTACATTGACAGAACATGAAGCGCCCAGACATTCAGGATACTGAAGGCATCAGCGGATCAACAGAATTGCAAATGTTTTGTGGCTTAATTTGACCTTATTATTTTGATAAACATGAGTGTTGTGACTGGGTTGCTTGAGGCTATTGAATTATTCAAATGGACTGTGGAGCAGTAGCTGAGCTAAATTACCGTTTCATTTTTTTTTAGAAAAATGTCTTCATTATCTATGACGCACAGTGCGTCCTCACCCCAGATTGGCAAATAGATCTGTCAGTCAAGCTCATATTACAGGGGATCAACCCATTAACTGAGTTTTACTCAGCCACCCAAAGAATATTTCCATCCACCGCCTATATTGGTCTGAATCCTCTTTTCAAAATTGTCCTAGATTGAGGTTAGTGCCAGCAGGCCAAAAACATTTCAACCCCAGAGGGAGCACTTAAATCTGGTTGACAGGATAACGATTGAGTTAACCAATATCCTATTTTTAGCTGCATAAATATTCTGTTCCCCACAATCGAGAACATGGAAATCTTCAGTCACAATCGTTGGCACTATTTCAAAGGGAGAGAAACTGGCCACTTTCTCTCCTGGCCAACAATCTCACAGATTTTTTAAAAAAAGTCATTCATTTCATGGATGTTTGTGAGATATTGCTCTGCGCAAATTGGCTGCAACATTCACCTTCAAAATACACAGTCAATTCACTTTAAGTAAATCCTGTACTGTGTGACATCTGAATGGTGTGACTAGGTCCTGGTTCAAATGGTAGGATTGTTATGTTATCATGTGCTGAAACCAGGAATGGGGTGGGGGGTAGAAACACCGGTGCTTTGGCACAATGGTTGGGATAAAGATTTCCAAAGGGAACTATTAAGAAATACTGTTGGATGGTTTAGAAAGGAAATCAGCTGTGGGTATATGAATGATTCAGAACAGTAGTAGCAGCAATGGGAAATCGCAGCAATATGCCTGGAGAGAAGCTGGATGTGATCAGTTGATTGTTTTCGATTGACATGAATGTAAGTTGAGGCTTATAGCAAAGGGCACTCACCACAATAGAGAGCCAATTCTTCAAATCACTTGAGCTGTTCAAAAACTTTAACGCCAACATTTTAAAACAAGAAACTTCACACCGAGTAAAATGAGATAACCATAATCTGCATATCATCAGAGATCTGAAAACTCCAAGCCATTTGTTGTGTATTTTCTCCAACACCCATTAATTGTTAAAATTATTCCTATGATAAAATTTCTGAGCTCATCAAAATTTAAACTTGAGGTACAATTGTATTCAATTTGCATTGTTCAGCATCTGATTATCATGTAAAATGTTAATAATATCACGTAAATAATATCAAGTAGCATTAAATTTAACTACAGTAAAACTTCTTAAACATTTCATCTTTTCATTAATGTATCCAGCTCATAAAATTGCAAGGCAACTAGGAAAATGGTAGCAGTGCTTTATAACCGTTGAACCTATGTTAATACAACAACAATTTGGACTTATATAGCGCCCTCCAGAACGCTTAACAGTGGCAGAAACTGACTCTGAGCGGGCGGTGAGGGGTGGGGTTGGGACTGTGGGGAGGTGTCTATAAACACGGTCGAAAAGGATACATTAAACAGTCACTAGGAATAGTCCCATTAGTTTTTGTCCTAGTAGCTGATTTATGTTAGTAGTCAATAATATCCTGATTGAGTTAAGTTATAACTGTTAATATTTTTTTATGGGAATGGTGTTGGAGAATGCAACATTCAAAGATGTAGTGCTTTCTCACAACATCTTACAACACAAAATATTGACAGGGCCCATTTAAAATTCTCCAATCTATACAATCTGCCACAATTTTAAGAACAACAATGCCTGTGAATAGTTTCAAAGATAAAATCTGTTAAGATTCTGGAATTATTTTAGAAATGACATGCATTTTACAATGCTTCACTATGTAGGAAAAACAATGCTGTTTTGTCTTGTCAAATTGTTTTGTAAGATGAAATAGGCCATTTAAGCAATAAAGACACTTGTGCCGTTTTGCCAGATTATGGCTTGACAGGATCATTGAAGTGTAAGATGAAAAGTTGAGTTGTCAGTTCAGCTTATTCTCACATAAGCATCAAAGTCAACTAAGTTACCTACTTCCCCCTCTACGTCTGAAGAAGTGTCAATTTTGTGCAAATTCGTGTTCCTGTAGTTCATCTCATGCTGCACCAAGTGGAAAATGAAAATGCTCCAAACTAGGCCTAGGAATCCTCGGTCGAGCTCATTATGGCACTCACTGTTGGCTGTCCAGCAGCAGCCACCATGACTGCCCCATCCCACATTTCCATCGCAAGGCCCACCGGCCCCAAATCCTGGGGTTAAACCTCTCCTCCCTCATCCATATTCCCACCCTCCCTGTCAATAACCCCCCACAGCCCCAGGTCTCACACATTCCTCTGCCACCTGTTCCGCTCCGCATCGCCCACGCCTTCCTAACTGCATGTCTTATTAACAACAGAGCAATTAGTGATGAAACATGTGTAAGCTTCAACACCAAGGGAAATATATAAGAGCTTACATATGAAATGCACTAAACCTTTCATGAAATATGTTAAAAAAAAACTATTTTATTGAGAATGTTTTTTTCTTTAACAGGGAAATTTACTTGCATTGAAGTGAAATTTCATTTGGAAAGACAGATGGGATATTATTTAATCCAGATGTACATTCCAAGTCTACTGATCGTCATTCTGTCCTGGGTATCGTTTTGGATTAACATGGATGCAGCTCCAGCCAGAGTAGCTCTGGGAATCACAACAGTGCTGACAATGACTACACAGAGTTCTGGATCTCGAGCTTCGCTTCCAAAGGTGAGGCATTGTTAAGATTTCTAATTGCTGAGATTTCTAACTGGAGTTGTCAATAATGACTTCAAGTCACAAATAGAGACTCCTTCTGCTCAAGAAATATATCATGTCAATTTACTCTGCAACTAAAACCTTGTAAAAATAATAATAATCCTTGCCTTTAAAATAGGGCCTTTTTTCCCAAAGGAAACCTTTTGACCCTATTGGCTTTCACCACCCTTTGCATAAAGATTTTACTCCAGAACTCCCTTTTAGATCTGATAGCAATAATATTATATTATGTTAATTTGTTTTCGACTCACAAACAAATGAGAACACTCTATTCATGTCCACTTTATCAGATCCTTTCAGAAGTTTAAACACCACTATCAAATCCCTTCTCCATTGTCCCATATCCAGAGAGAAAAGCTCTAATGTGTCAAATCTAAAGAAGAAGTGTGATTTTTTTTACATACTTTATATTCTACTGGTTCCTCGTGTTTGTGACCATACTCAAAAAATGCACTGCTCCCACGCAAAGAATATTAAACTAATATTAAGTACACTAAATCAAACAAATCTCAGGAGTTCATTTTTAATTAAAATCAGATAAACAATTTGGAAACAGTTAAACATAATACCAAAGTGCAATTTATAGATCTTGAGCTGTAATTACAAAGAGCCTGAAACATTAATGTTATCGTTTTCGCAGTGTTGAGAGCTGTTTATTTTACTAAATGGTAGAACGAGGTACACTCAGGTTCAAACCATGCTAGAGGCAATATATCTCAATTTTATAGTGTTGATAAAATTCTGGCATGTCGTAGATTACGAAGGTAAAGAATATTGCCAGATTCCAGGGCACGGGGATCAATCCTGAAAAAAATGGTTTACAGATAACATTATGTTGTAGCTATGGGTAATACGCCATTCTAAAACTATTGATTTTAATAATAACAAACTGCATAGTACAAATTAATAGCCTTTCCCATTCATGAAGGGTTTTTTGTCCATTTCTTCCTGTTTAATAGTTATAATAATCATATAAATAACACCTTCATTTAATATATTGCCAATAATGTTGAGATGTTTCAGAGTGCTTCACATATAATTGCTGTCAAGTGTAGTGACTGTGTATTTAGAGGCAAACCAATTTACACACAGCAATGTTCTACAAACAGCCGAAGGATGCACAGATAAAGTAAATATTATTTAGCTATTTTTTGAATTTCCCCCCTCCCCCTCACTTCCTCTCCATAACCATGCCACTAGAATGCTTAGCACCTAGGGAGGGAAAATTATGTTCTCTACTGTGATAGAACAAACTCAATTTGCCTAATACAATTAATGTTGTAAATTACACTGCAATATTAGTATCTAATACAACAACAACAACATAGTAATGTGTACTATATCTTAATGAAGTTAGGTATCCCATTAGAATGGCATTCTCCAGAACTAAATGCAATTGGCACGACATGTTTCTGGTTATTGGAAAGAACCCCCATTTACATGGCTCAAAGGCCCGATTTGTTATCTAATCTTAGCCTATTAAATATTAAATATTATCTCGATATCAGAGAATTGTGGAAAATTCTTAAATTCAGTCTTAATTTAGAAACCAGTACTTTCAAAAGAGCTGGCTTCCAAATTGAAACTTCATTTATGATTTTTTCACAATTCTGCAGAATTTTAAATCAACATTGTCTTACAAACTAAGACTGGGTAGAATATCGGACCTCAGATTTCTTTTTAAGGAAATCCCTATTTAAAAGTACCGTATATTCGATTCAATTATAATATTGTAACTTTGTACCCAAAGGCATATCAGAGCTGAGAAGAACATATTGATTTAGAAACCACATTTATTTGATTGAGAAACAACCTTTTAGTCAATTAAAATGATCGTATGATTTGTGCTCATTAAAACTTTTGTTAGTGTCCCTGTGCTGTAGAATGGAGCTCTAACTAACAGGCTACTTTATTACAAGCAATCAGTTGATTTCTGTACTGCTTCAATAGACGTTTCCATCCCACACTCACGGTGGAAAATATTCCTGACACAATATTTCCAGGTTTCAAGACGGTTATCATTTTGTTCATCCTCCCAGTGCTCTTTCTTCCTTTGAATTTTCGTAACTAACTGAGAAGCAACAGGTCCTATGGAATTATCCCCGACTGCAATCGTTCAGCTGAAGTATTGATTGGTTGAATTTCGATAAGAGAGTCGTATTATTAATTTTGTTATTATTCAAAAAATACAGATCTAATCCATGTTATAAAGATGTTTGTCACAGAATACAGTAATAGTTTTTAAACCAATCATAGCAGCATTCAGATCTTTTCCTTTTAAAAGTCCACTTTCACTTTCTCGAATGTTAGTTGACTTACAAAATACACCTTTACTCCACTTTACAGTAAATCCTGTGAAGCACTGAGACATCCTCCCAACATGAAAGGCTCTAAATCAAATACAAGCTTCAATATTATATTAACAATTTGCATCAGAATGTTCAACCAATTAAAATGAAGATTAATTGGGTCTGAAGGGGTTTTATCAATTCATTTCTAAATATATCCAGTTATGAGATTTTGAGTGGGAGGACATAGATGTAATGGATTAGGAACTGACAAAACAGCCTCTGTTCCGATTGTTCCTACTTTCCTTTTTATAATAATAATAATAATAATCCTTGCATTTGATATAGCGCTTTTCACGTCGGGAGGACGTCCCAAAGTGCTTCACAGAACACACTGTTAAGTGAATTGACTGTATATTTGTGGACAACGCGGCAGCCAATTGCGCACAGCAATGTCCCACAAACAGTCGTAGATTTATGCAGCAAGCATCTGAAAAGATCATTTTGTGAGGAATTCTCAGTGCATACACTCAGGATAGTGGCAGGTTACTAAGCAACAACTCCAGACTCTCCACATGCCTTAGTGTTGTTATATCAAACCATTCCTATCAATAATAAAGCAGTCTTGAAGAAAAAGTGTTTTCCAAATAGCTGCTCTCTCATTTGAACGACTTGAAGCAGTCACCATGAAAAATAATTAGGCCCTACTGCACAATTAAAATCCTCCACCTCATCCATAGCCTTTATAACAAGCTCCTTCTCTTCCACTTCTGAAATAATAGGATCACTTTAACAGGGCATTCAATATTTATCACGTTGGATATCTCTGATGCCGTATTCAATGATGTAAAACCAGGCCTTATGGGCTTGTGGCTTTTGCCTACCAGTTAGTGAGATCCTGGATTCTCTGAGTTTATCCAGTAAAGAACTGGTAGCTTTTTTTTATTCTCTTAACAATTGCTTCATGTATCAAAATGATTGGGGCCCTCAGACTCTTCCCATGCTCACCTTTTTAATGCACTCACAGTAACGGTGCAGTGGCTCAGATTTTGTATTTGCTGTCAATTCAAGGCATAGCAAGCATAGCATGGAATCTAGCCAAACAGGCTTTGTCAGGTGGTCTTGATACCCTGATATCAGCAGATTAAAAAAGTATGCATATAAATTGGGTCTTTTAAAGTTTTGGGGGGGATTTATCAGCCACACATGGACATTCATCATCACATTCAGAGTATCCAAGCCAAATTACTGAGAGTTCCACATATGCATGGAAATTTGCCTTGTATCTGGAATGGAGTGCACGTTTTCTTTCCCTCTGTGGGTCATGCCCTATTCACCTAATCCCAAAAGGTAGTAAGTGAAGGGTGGCAAGAGCCAAGGCTTGGAGATCTCTGAGTGCAAGTTGAGGAAAGTGATTTGTTTGTGCTTATTGAAGTGAAAGATGTCACAGCCCAGTCCAACTGTAGAATAAAGCTCCTTTCATTCTGTCTCACAGTCTGTGTTAATTCCAATCTCAGAACATCATCCAATACACATGTATTTACACATTTCCCCCACCAGCCATCCTCTGAGCGGAATTGGTGATGTGTGTTACATTGGAGGGATTTTTATGCTATGGTGCCATGCCCACTAGGTGTTCGGTTAAGGTTGTCCAAATGCAATTCACATAGAAAGTAGGCATTTTCAATCCATTTTTCTTTGACTGGATCCAAACTCAGCCCCCAGAGGTAAAAGAACAATGTTGAACTCACTGAAGCAACCAGTCCACAAATAAACCAAAATGATAAATCTTTGATCTTAGAAATTTGCAGGTCACCAGAGTACTGCTTTACTGTTCTGCAAGAGAAACATCATGGAAAAGATTTAATCAGATTTTCAGTCATCTTAGGTAACTTTTGTTTGGAATTTCATATGGAGTTGCTTAAACCTCTGGACTGCCAGTAGGTGTATGGAAAGTCCTACCTGCTTGCTGACTGGTTTTCTAAATTGTGAGCTAACACATTATGACATGGAAAATATATTTAAAAGTAACTTGAGCAATAGGACAAGCTTTGTTACTCAAACATTACCAATAACCATGCCAATTTTTCTTTACAATATATCCTGTGGAGTCCTGTAGTTTAGTGGTTAGAGCACTCGCCTTGCAAGCGAGATGATCTGGGTTTAGTTCCCGGGCAGTGCGAAACATTGGGCAAGTTTCCTTACTCCACAAGCTTCTGTTTACCTAGCAGTAAGTAGGAACCTGGTTGTTAGTCGATTAGCGGATCGCTTTTCCAGGGGTAATAATCCCTCCAAAAAAAAATAATAATAATAATTTGGTCACTCAATCCATGACTGTTTGTGGGACACTGCTGTGTGAAATTGGCTGCCGCATTTCTCCCACAAAATAAAGTCAATTCACTTTACAGTATAAAGCGCTTTGAGACGTCTCGAACAACAACGTGAATCACTCAGGCAATAACAATCAAGTGGAACCTCACAGAAGGCAAGGTCTAAAATTTTCACTCACAAAGACCTTGCCACAATAGGCAGAACAGCCTACCACTCGCCTGGCTAAAAAAGGAAAAAAAGATCGAGGGTGAACTTTTCCTTAAATTGAGTCCAATGATATATCCAATATTTTACTTACTGGGGTGTACAGAATGCAACTCTATATATTATAAGCAAGTGATGAAGTAAAAGGGGGATCCTTATTCACATTTTGCATGGGAACGGTCAGGGATATTGACAGTATGATTATATAAGACAGCTCCTTATAATCAGGAGTTCAGTGTACATCAGAGACATATTTCCCATTAAAACTGGAGATGCTTTCAAATTGCAGTCAAAATCTTCTTAGATGGATCAATGTCTGGGAGACCTTTTAATTAAATGTAACATGCCCAATCATTGGCACTTATTGTACTAAATATGTGAGTTATTCCACGCGCTAGGATTCATTGTTATTCAGAGCGATGCAACCAATCCTTAGAGAAACATTTAATTCCTGTCACTTTCCTCCTTCTCCTCCCTGTTGATGAATTTCTGAGATTTGGATTTAACCAGGTGGATTACATTCATTTCAGCATCCGAGTCACCAGAGCAGAATTTCTATTATGTGTTCACCAAATACGTGGAGGGGAGGGGAAGAGGATTCAGTAAAATGGAATTTAAATCAATCTGTTTGTATCAAGCAGCAAATTGAAATTACTGTTCTGGGATTGGAATTACTGGAATTATTGGAAGTGGCATTTCTGCTTCACAGAACACATGACTCAAAGAAAATCACCTCATTAACAAGGACTAAGCTTTTGACAGCGCGGTCAGCATTTTAAGGATGAAATTGATGATCATAAAAGAGTAAGACAGGCTGCAAAACTATTTAAACAAATACAGCGGTGTTTATTTTTAATGGTGACATGCTTCAAAATAGGCTCTGAATTTAAACCAAGATGAGTGAGTGTCACTCCTAATGAGAGAGACTTGACAGGTCTGACTTTGGGAGTTCACCAAAAGACAAATATTTCCTGTTTGCATTGCTGTGCAATTCTAATGTCTAAAATTTCACCCAGAGTAGAACTATTTTGTCTTAAAATTTTTAACTTGTACAAAGAAAATTGTGGAAATGTTTTCAATTCAGAATAATTGGGATTCACTTGGAAGATGATTTTCCAAATTCTTAACAATTAATGAACTTCAAATCGACAACTGAATTTAAGGATTTGCCAGAATTCAGGGCAGTCTTATAGATTTAAGTCAAAAATGGCATCTTGGTTGATTTGGGAGCACTCTTGCTTCTGGGTCAGCCCCTCCTCAGGACTGAGTTTACGATCTTGGCTGACACTCTAATGCAGTACTGTGGAAATGCTGCGTTATTGGATGTGCTGACCTTAGAATGAGAATGCAACCAACGTCTTGTCTGCCTGTTTAGGTGAATGTTAATATTAAATATCTTATAACGCTATGTTCTAGTCAGCAATCCACCTGATAAAATTGGTCATTCATTTTACAGCTGTTGATAGATTTTATTTGTACAACTTGCCTGCTATGATCTGAGGTTCTCTGATGATCCTATGTGACAAACAGGACAGTTGAATCTGTTAACTCACAGGAGTCGAATAGCTAAACGTTAACCTCTATGCCTCAATGTCCTTCCTTAAGTTAATCCACTTCTGGGTAGCTGACATCTCCAGGAGCAAATCCGGGTTACATTTGAGATGTCTATTTTGGGATTCACTTCCTGACTGCATTCTAACCATCTAAAGCATGAAATGTGTTACGTTCAGGAATACTGGTGCTTTTGTTGCAAAATGGAACAAGTTTTTATCATAAATGTTATGCCATCATAGTTGTTTATGGTTCCATTATTTGCTCTTAAGTGGTTCACACTACATAACATAACTGCACAGTTCAGTATTATTTGTTTAGTATTATTCTATAATTTATGTGTTATTCTTAATTTATGTGCTATTCCTCTGAATCAGCTGGAATGACAATTCCCAATAATACTTTTGGCCAAAGCATATGGTTCACATGTGGAAGCTGGCCATCTGCCCCTGTCTGACACGACACGACCACTATCTAAAGAAAAAACATAATGGGGAAATACTAAATGGAAAACATGAAAGGTACATACAGATTTAAGTAAAGGGCGATGAATGTATGGAGCAATATTGTAGCATGTGGTGTAATAATTATTTCCAGTAATAATTATCAAATCTCATATTACATTTCCACCACATTTCTATATAGAATACGATATTACACTTGCTGCAGAATATATAACAAGACAGTAATGCACCTCAATGAAAAATATTACACAACAACTCTAATAGGTTACTGTATTCGTTGCTTAATATTAACAATAATCCTTACATTTGATATAGTTCTTTGCTGGATTTTGCTATGAGTGACATTGTATTTGAAGGCACAACTACAAAATTTAATAAATACTGTTTTATTCAAGACCTATAATTATCAAATGACTAAAAATATATATTAATCACACACTAGGATGTATTAATAATTATGGATTATTTTTACAGACAAAAGAGTAGATGACCTATGGCTTGCTATATGTGAAAGCAACATATTCAGAAAAAGGTTTTATTTTATTTTCAAATGCTTATTTCTGTAAAAGAAACCATTTGAATTGAGAACAAGAGTGTCCTGATACAAAAGCCCAAAGTAATCAGCACTGCTCATCACATTGTATGTCATCATAGTAAAGAAATATGAATGGTATTCAATCTCTATCGCTCACTATGATCAGTCTTATGTATGAGATTCTTTTAGGTTAATTTTATCCCTGTGTCCTTCCTTGGTACTTGTCCCTAGAGCTGAGACTCTGAAAGGTTTGAAATTAATGTTGGAATCCATATAGTCTAGGCTGACCCTTCAGTGCGATTCTGCATTGTCAGAAGTGCCGTTCTTCGAATGAGATGTTAAATCGAGGCCCCACCTGTATGTTCAGGTGGATATTAAAGATCCCATGGCACTGTTCGAAAAGATAAAGGGAGTTGCTCTGGTTGTTCTGGCCAACAATCCCCCAAATAAAATGTGTTGTTCATGGCTGTTTGAAAGACATTGCTGTGCACAAAATTGGCTGCTGCATTCTCAAACAAAATACATTCCACTTTACAGTATTTCCTGTGAATCGTATTGAGACCGCCTCCCAATGTAAAAGGCACTATAACATATGTAAGGATTATTATTATTGTTATAATGTGATAGAATAAGCAAGAAATTATACTGCTTGGTAATGACAACATGCCACAAGGGTTGAGTAAATTTACCAACCAGAGGAATTTCACTCATGGAACTATCCTATGTGCTTTCTATTCCCTCATATACATAGCTGACTTGTACTGAATAACAATTCACCATTTCTGGGCACTATCAACTTTTCATTCCAAGACACAGAGCAATTGTTCAATTTGTTCCCAACTTCATTCATTGCAAATCTTGTAATCATGGATTAGTTTGAAAACTAATACAGTTGTTGCACTTGACATAATTTCTGTGAAGCACCTTGAGACCATTTAAGGCACTATTAACATACAGGTTCTCTAGCTGTTTTAATTAACATGTATCTCGTATAGATTGGAAAGTCATGGTTGGGTTGTTGCAGATGACCTTTTTGTCAATGTATTGCTTCCTCAGTATTCTACCTTTTGCTAAAGCATTGTGTTTCATCCAGGTCTCATACGTCAAGGCCATTGACATTTGGATGGCAGTGTGTCTTCTCTTTGTCTTTGCTGCTTTGTTGGAATATGCCGCTGTCAACTTTGTTTCACGCCAGCACAAGGAGTTTCTGCGCCTGAGAAGAAGGCAGAGAAGACAAAATAAGGTAAATGATTTCACAGCTACATTGCAGTAAAATTATGTCAGAGGTGAAGAACCAGCGTGGAACCCACTGCACCACTCAGTCTATATGTTTGTCATTTTGATGAGGATAATGCAGTTGAAATTGTGGTATTCACTAATATCCGTTGGTTAACAACAACAACTTGGATTTATATAGCGCCCTCCACGCCGGACGGCATCTCAGAGCGCTTTACAGTAACGGATCCCGGGACTGAGCCAGGGAGAGGGGGAGGAAGGTGACCAAAGGCGCGGTCGAAAAGAAAGGTTAAGGGTTGTTTTGGGTTCAGTTTTTGTTTTACTTCCCAAAGAACACAATTGTACTCTGACTGTCTGAGCTCAGACATGAGGAATGATCACTTAGGCAAGGTTTCAGAACCTGCTGGACCTCTCCTGCACCAGGCTCCCCGACCCTATCACCCTGATCCTCGCCCCTCTCCATTGCCTCCTCATCATACAGACGATACAATTCAAGATCCTGGTCTTCACCTTCAAAGCCTTGCCATGGCCTTGATCCCCCTACTTCTGTGATCTCCTAACCCCCTACCAACCTATCCGCTCCCTCCGCTCAGCGGGCTCCAGCCTGCTTCATGTCCCCCACCTTGGCCGCCCCATTGGTGGGCACACCTTCAACATCTCTGCCCCCACCCTCTGGAACTCCACCCCACAGTCCCTCCACCTCGGCCCCTCCTTTGCCTCCTTCAAGATCCACCTCAAGATCCTCCTCTTCAAGCTTGTCTTCAGTCACACTCGTATTGTCGACCCTCCCGCCACCCCTCCTGATCCCAACCACCAACTCGGGTGCCTATCGCTGACTGTCCAGTGCTTTGGGACGTCTTCCTGACATGAAAGGCGCTACACAAATGTAATTTTGTTGTTGTTGTTGCTAAAGCTGGTACTATGGATATAAACTCCAGTAGCAATGAAGAAACCTGTGTTTCAACCTTTACCTTTGCTGCCAGGTTCAGGCAAATTCCCATTTGGCTGGGCTTTCCAGAGATGCTGAAATCCGCCACTCATATTCCAGAAATAAAGTACCAGGACATTCCTGGTCTATTCCACAGAGTTTTTCTTTGATGTACAAAAGATGTTCCAACATGACAGATATGTTGCTCCATGCATCGCATATAAATTTATAAAAAATGAATGCGAATTCCAGTTTTTGAATTGTGAAGTCTGAGCCAAACAGCTTACATTATTGAACCTTTGAGGGTTGAATGACGAGACTGATGATAGAACAGTTATTCTTGCGAGTATTGTATTTATTTTGTGCCTTGGAAGAAAACCCTTAAAGGAAGACAAAAGACATGCTGTTCACTATTAATGTCAAAAGTAATGAGACTGACACTGACTTACACCATGGAGTAACTTTGATATTTTAGATTCCTTTCAATTATCTGGGTTTATGATTTTGAACATTTCAATTATGGAATCATTATGAACTGAAGCATCTTACTGTGCTACAGTGGCAAGCTAAGAGCTCAGTGTCAGGGAGAAATGAGCACAGTCCTGAGGTCATTTTCCTGACAGCTCATATAATTCTCAAATTGTGAAGGAAAAAAGGCCTTTAAATAACTTTCATCCTATCTGTGTGTTGGGACTGTTGTGAGCAACCCCGCACAGCCAGGGTCCTGAATGCACGTTAAAAGAAATTCAGAGGTGAATCTGTGTGTTCAGTTGAAATGTACCATCCTGTGTCAAAGGTGTTTGAGTACATTCCAGCTTGGCATTGTTTTTGCCCAGCAGTACAAATGTGTATTTATCACTTTAAATGCAAATGAAATGCAATTTCATGCCAATTTGTCTGCATTGTTGTCAACAATTTGGGGCATTGCCAAATCATACAGATAAACAGCTCTTTACTATACTTTCAATTGGGGTGAATTCAAATCCAGGTGTCAGAGGTGAAAGACCAACAACGAACCCACTGCCCCATCGAGTCCATATATTTATCATTTGGATCAGGATAATGGAGTTGAAATTGTGGTATTCACTAATAACTGTTATTTAATAATAATTATCATAATATTCCTTGCATTTGATATGGTGCCTTATCACATCTTCGAGATGTTTCAAAGTGCTAGACAGAATATACTGTAAAGTGAACAGACTGTATATTTTGTGGGCAAAAATTAAGTGTGGTTTGGGTTCAGTTTTTGTTTTAATTCCCAAAGAACACAATTATACTGTGTTGAGGCAACGTTAATAATGCAACACGTTTTATGTTTCTACAGATTCATTTGCCTTCTGAAATATTTGAACTCTGCTCCCTTAGTAGAAAATAAACAGATCTCATGCTTGGGATCTAGTTAAATTGCATTAAAATGTAGTCCTAATCTCAGCTGCACTTTTGAAGACCTACAATACACGTTACATTGTATTGGGCAGATGTCTTAAAGTGTTTTATGCAATTGTCTGGGGACCTGAACCGAGAGGTGGGGGGAAGCTGAATTGAGCGGTGAGGGTTGAGGGTTAACTGAAAACGTGGTTGAAGAAGTAAGTCAAGTCAGACTTTCAAAGTGGGGAGAGAGGAGGTTTATTGATACATTTTATTAGTTAGAAGTGGACTAGCAATTTCTATAATTTGTTAATGAAATGCACACAAGAGAAATGAATGCCATTCTCAGTTCCATTCCCAATTTCACTTTTATTATCTGTAAGAATTATCTATAAGAACACAAGATTAAAATGTGAGGCTCAGTAATGGAAGATGCCTTTTAGTGAAATATTTCTACCATTGATTTTCATGTAGTTCTTTGCAGTTTGACTTTTATGACTCCCTGCTTATCGGCCTCCCCAACTCCTCCCATCACAGGCTGCGGATCATCCAGAACTCTGCAGCCTATGTGCTCTCCCACACCAGGCTCCACGACTCTATCACTCCCATCCTCGCCCGACTCCACTGGCTCCCCATCACTCAGAGGATAGAGCTCAAGATCCTGGTACTCACCTTAAAAGCCCCCCATGGCCTTGCTCTTCCCTACCTCGGTGACCTCCTAATCGCCTTACCAACCTGTTCACTCCCTCCGCTCAGCTGGCTCTGGCCTGCTTCATGTCCCCACACCTTGCCTGCTCCACCATTGGCGGGCAGGCCGTCAGCCTCTCTGCCTCTATCCCACAATCCATCCACATCACCCCATCCCGTACCTCCTTCAAGACCCATTTCAAGTCCCTCCTCTTCAACCATGCCTTCAGTCATCCTCCTATCCCTACCCTCCCGTCATCCACCCTTCCTGATGCCAACCACCTGTGGATCCCTGGCTGTCCAGCTCCTGACATGAAAGGCGCTATACAGATGTTATTTGTTGATGTTGTATATTAAAGTGGAAGGCAGGCCGGGTTCTTTGTTAACTTCATTCCTTCAATATGGTTGCAGTGTCCCCTGGTGGGATTTTTCCTACGGCGTTAAAATGAATCCTTCTATTGTCTCACCCGTTACAATCCAGTTTTTGAAATGATATTTATAAATTGGGCATTCAATGAAGAATGCATCTTGTGATCTAATCATTTCTCAAGCAGCTTAGACACTCCACTTGATGGGAAAGAGCAATCATGGTTCTGGCATGTGAATGATGTAAAATGACCTACTCCAAAAAGTGAGTGTGGGATGTTGGATGGGGATGGGATTATTGGCTGTGATAACGCTGCTATTGTTCATTGACTAGGGTTCATGATTTTGTAACATGAGTCAAATCCTCCCACAAGACATATTAAAATATGTATCCTAAAAACAGAGCAAAATTCAGTACACTCAGTATTTTAAAAATAAAATCTTTCTTTTTAAAATTTAATTGCACAACTTAAGTCAAATAATACTGTATTATGGTGAGATTCCCATGTTGAAGTGAGTTGTCTGTGATGACACATAGTAATAATAATGCTTGCATTTGTTATAGCCCTTTTCACTTATTCTAGACGTCTCAAAGCGCTTCACAGAATATACTGTAAAGTGAATTGATTGTATATTTAAGTGTGGTTTGGGTTCAGTTTTTGTTTTAATTCCCAAAGAATACAATTGTACTGTGTTGCACAGTAACTTTAAAAACACAACATGTTTAATGTGTCCACAGATTTTATTTGCCTTTTGAAATATTTGAACTCCGCTCCCCTTAGTAGAAAATAAACAGATCTCATGCTTGGGATCTAATATATTTATATTTATAATATACTGTATACTTGTATAACATCCATTGCTCCATCTGGCTACACGTAGCTGCCTTGCTTTCACTTCCTTCAGTTTGTTCTAAATTTCCTGCATGATGTCACTTTCCCAACAGTGCCATCCTCTAATTTATAATGCAAGAAACATAAAGAAGATTCAGTTATATTACGAGAAGGGTCACAATGGTAGGGATAGAGCTTCTGTTTGGTCTGATTGTTCAGCATTATGAGGCCATCGTATGATGTGTCACTCATTACGAATACAAAGGCACAATTCTTTTTTATTCAACAGATCTGAGTGTTTTGTGGAAATTCACGACTTGTCAAAACATTGGTTATTTTCTGTTTAACAAGTGTTCCCTGGTACAACTTTGGCAGTTACTTTGCTGCAATGTCAAAATGAATCTTTCTGCAGTCTCATTCGGGTTTACAAAACTACTTATAAATTGAGCATTCAATTCAACGATGATTTCAACTAGTGATCTAATCCGAACACAAGTAAAATATTAGAATTCCAAATTCTACTTGTCCGTGTACTTTTCCTTCTCAGATTGTTGATTTGAATCTCATTCCATCGAAAGGTCACTTATTGACTCCAAAGTCTTTCATCAATAGGTCTTAGAATTTTGTGTGTCTTTGTGCGGGTGATTATATACAATGTGGCTTTAAAACACATCTTCCCTTGCAATTTTTTCTTCTCTTCCTCAAGGAAAGGACCTGCTGTCTTCTCTTTATTTCCCCAGGATGCAGAGAAGTTGAGTTCAGGAACTGAGTTCATAGTCAATTCACTTTTACAGTACGTTTTACAGAATGCTTTCAAGCTCT